CCAAGCTCAGATTAGACACATGCTCAGCCCCTCTCTAGCGAAGCCGATTTCCTGGTTGTGATTAGAGACGGTTTACATATTTTTTTTTTTTTTTTTTTTTCTCCCTTCTCTTTCTCTCCCTCCTTTTCTCCCAAGGAAAGGACAATTCATCTCCACATTTGCTAAGGGCAAGGATCCACGGGATGCTCCTTCTGCCCCTCCCTTGCAGGCGGTACAGCTGACGCTCCAGTGGCTCTGGGATGAGCGCATAGCTCKGCCCGGGATAGAGCAGTGGGGTTTCCCTGCAGCAAGGCGGGCGGCACCTCCACCCTCCGTGCCAGCAGGGCCCTGGCTCCCGCGCCAGCTCTCCCGTTACCTGCAGCTCCTTGTACAGGCGGTCGAGCTCGGCTACAGCCGACTGGTTGTCGTGGTAGCCGTCGATCCGGCCGTTCTTCAGCATCTCCAGCTGCCTGGTGAGCTCCTCCACCTTGGACACGGCCAGCACCAGCTCGCGCTGCTTCTGCTGGAACAAGCTGTTCATCTGCTCGATCTCCTCCACTGCAGAGGGCGAGAGAGCCGGCGAGCGGCGCTGAGCGGCGGCCCGAGGCAGCAGGATGAGCCCAAGCAGGTGCCCAGGCTACCAGGGAGCGCGCAGGGACACACACGCATGCTCAGAGCCTGAACACTTCCATGGGTCCTTACCCTCTYGGAAAGTGGCATTTACTTTGTGCAATACAACTCAAACACATCACTCACTYTCCCCAGGGAAAAACGGTTTTGTTTTTATCATAAAGCACCATGCATATCTTCATTTGAGCACTACTGAYATAGAGAGAGGGAAGAGAAATAAACAGAAAGAGAAACAGAAAAAGGAAAAAAACCACACCTGTTTTGACCTAACATCTGAAACATATATTTAATATTGAATAGCCGTCTGGCTGAACGACAGACCCCAAATACTACTGTAGCCAGCTGGACACTAGTCTGGTTTTTGTGATTACAAAGAAAATACACAGCCACTTTGGCCATTAAGGTCGTTCCTTTGGCTGTGAAGGCAGCTCTTGCATAAGAGGCAGCATGGACACCGCGTGCCACTCGGCACACACAGCTTTGCTGCAGGCCAAGAAACGAGCGACACCCTAAACATATGCAGGGCATTAGCACTGAGGATGGAAAAAGATGCTGTGGAGAATAGAGGTATTTAAGGAAAGAACATTTAGGTAAGGAAGCAACCAAAACTGAAGTGCAAGAGCAGATCCAGTAGCCTCAAAACACACTGTGGAAATACATGGGACTCTCCCTAAAGTGTAGAATAGGAAAACATATTTTCCTCCTGCAAGTCATTCAGGACTTCTTTTGGCAAATACAAGGTACAAAAAACACTTTTCAGAATTCTGCAAACAGCCCCACTAAAACATTTAAACAAAAAAGTCCAAAAGCAATGTTTTATTTAAGGCACAAGCTGTTCTCCTCACCTAATTTCCCATTGCTCAGTCTTTTCTGCTCCACGTGGCCTTTCAGTGCTCTGACTTTCTTAAGTTTGGCTTCCTGATTCTCAGCAATTTCCTTCAGCCGCTTCAGCTTCTCCTGCTCAGCAGCCTGCTGCTGCTGCCGCTGATCTTGCTGCTTCAGGAATTTCAGGCGCTGCTCCTGCAGTTAAGAATCTTTTTTAATGGGACTTACAGCAAGGTACTGGCAGATGAAGTCTCAACACTTAAGCGCAGTCATAGCAGCTCCAGCAGTTACTTCAGCCCAAACCCCGACCTCCCAACGTGTCAACAGAAGCCTCTGAGAACAGGACAAGCAGGTACCAGCACTGTCCCAATCCAGCCCCGCAGGCACCACCGCTCTGTAGTGTGAAGACCCTCTGGAACAGACATGGTGCCCATATCTAATGGCCCCTAATTAGTTTTCCTTCCATTAAATTGTTTAAAAGCTTTTTAAGCCAAAAAAAAACCAAAAAAGTCATCTCCAGTTCCACTCAACCACTACTGAGTTCTTGAGTTAGAAGAGCTAACATTTTTTCCTTCTCTTCCTTTTCTGTGCTCCTGGTACTTTACAGATCTCCATCTTATGCCACATTTTATTTCTGTTTTTTCCCCAGCATGATTTAATTCTCTCTACAGAAAGTATTCCCTACACCCCTCGTCATTTTTGTCTTCAGTTTTTCAAGCTTTGCTGTATGCTGCCGAGATGGGGGAATCACTGCACACCACAGTTCTGAGATGTGATCACTCTGGGACAACACTCACTTCCACCACAGCACTGGAGTGCAAAAAACAGGGAATCCTTCCCACCCAGGGTGAAAAGCCTGGGGCTCACGACCAACCGGACTCCATTTATTTACCAGGCAGATCCATACACCATCTCCAAGGATGGAGCAGCATCAGTCTCTACCCAGATCTCTGCAGCCTAGAGAGAAAAGGAGCTACGAGATCACCTGCAGGACCTGCCTTCAAGTCCTCGGCCATTGCACACGGCTTCCAGTTCAGGAGAGGCAGGGGAGCTCCTAAGGCTTTCCCAGGCACTCCAAGATGAGCAGCCAAGACTACCACAGGTTACTAATATTAGAACTGAACATTTCTTCCCAAAATCATCAGTCACATTTGGAAACATGGGCTCTTGTGAACTTGACTGAAAAAGGAAGGGAAAAAAGCAAGCCTGCTTTCTGAGGAAAACCAAGCAGCACCTGCAGTGTATGCATGAGTTTGGAGTCAATCATAGAGTGGAGAATGCCAGAAATAAACATTACAGCCCATGCCTAGAGAGTAAGGGTATTATTTTCTCCTCAGAATCTATTTTTAATATTGCACCTGGTTTCAAAAGGGGGTGGAAGGCCTCTCTTTGGAGCAAACTGTCCTTCCCAGATACCTTTGCAGGGAGGCATCTTAAATGAAACACGTTCTCCTGTAAGACTCAAAGAACATCTCCCTGCTGGGTGAACATCCACACTCGAACGCACCAACTTCCCTCCATTTCCCCTCAAATCTCGTATGGCTCCCTTTACAAAAAGTATATAAAACATTCCTCTTTCTGGTTTTATAGATGATGACTGCAGTGATGCTGCTAATAATTCAGACTTGTAGGTCTGTTATCATCACTTGTAAGCGAATAGCCAAGAGGCTTCTTTAAAAATAGTAATAATAATAATGCCTGGGTAGAATAGGCGTAAACTTTGCTATTAAACTTCAAGTGAATACCCTTATCACTTGCTCAATTCAAAGCTGACTAATTTCTCACACTTACATGTACACTTACATACTTCCATGTTTTTATATCAGTTTTTACCACAGAACAGAAATAAAGATTTCTTGCTATTTTTAACAGACCCCAGAGGGTCACTGCACCACTGTGCTGTTGCCACAACCACTACACAGCCAAGGTCTGAACCGGTTGCTGAGATGTGTTTATGGAAAGCTAAGGCATCAAAGCAGGTGCTAAATAATGAGGAACAATAAGCTTTACAGGAGCCATATGAGATTGGGAAAGGGAAAAAAAATGTGTCCGTTTGGTTTTGAAAAGAGACAGGTGGCCTCACAGAGGGAGAGCAGCAGGACAGGAGCTGCAGAGCAACCTGCTTCCCTTCCCTTTCCCTAGGAAAGGGCTCTCCAAGGGGATGTGGCCATGCAGCCGCCTGCACGCATGTCCCAACACATCGGTGCTTAAAGGTTCTGTCCCAACAGCGACGTTTCCAGTGGTACTTTTAAGAGCAGCATGTAGCGACGAGGCCTAAGTCAAAGCTGAAACCCAAGCTACAAGTTCCACAGCTGCGTTCAGGCTATTTTTTCCCCTCTTCAATGCAGGAGCGCTCCGATTGCTCTCATTACTCTTTCTCTTATTGTTCAGCAGGCATTGTATAGAAGCACTGGGAGAGTGATTTATCACACACACATGCCACCTTTTCCAGATGGCTGTCCCAGACAGCCAGACACACTGAACTCTATCAGGCAAAAGCCAGGTATCATTACAGGGCAGTGTTACACGCAGGGACAAAAGCCCTGCTCAGGGAGGAAAGCGGTGAGTGGCAGGTCACCATGCAGAACACAAACAGGGGTGGCACAGCCACCAGGATGAATTGCAATATTAATGCTAGGAGCTGTAATCTTTTACTAAGCTGTATGGCCACTTATCACCAGCAATATTTTAATGTCCTGCTCCTGGATACTTATATAGGCAGCCAAAGCAAGGGAGAACTGTGTTTATAAGAAAATGCAGCCCCCAGCCTTTCCCCTTCCTCACGTGACTCTTCCGATCTCTGTTCCGAGCTGGGAACAGCCTCATTCCAAGCCCACCTTGTTTGCCAGCATCTGCTGTTGGGCCTCGATTTGTTGCTGCTGGCGTGACGCCATCTCCTGAAGCTCAGCCAGTGTCATATCCATTCTGGGAGCACTGACCTGCCAACAAAAATCCAAAGCATGCTAATTCCAGAATTACTGACTTGGCAAGCTTGCAATTCGACACAGCTACTGTAGGAAAGTACAATTAAAGTATTATTAAACATATACATGTACACACAAAACACTGTATCCATACATATATATACAACTCTAAGTATCTAATAAAATAATTGCAAAGACATAGCATATTTACAAGCTAAAAGAACAAACCCCTGTAAGGCTGTGCACATGCTTGCCCCATGCAGGCGCACACACAAGCACGCACCTCCAAGCACATTAACATTTCAAGTGAAATCCCAGCACTGCTTTTTAAAGGGGCTTTTCAGAACCCATTATAATTAAGCTCAGCACGAATCAGCTTTGCCTGATTAAGCTCAGCACACTGCAGGATGGATCTGTTTGTAGGGATGTCATTGCAATTCAAAGCATTTCAAAATAAGTTGAAGAAAGAGGAGAGTTTAAATATAGAGTAAAAAAAAAAAACATCAAAAGGCAACACTGTCATGAAATTAGCTATCTGTTCACATCTTTCTTAAATCTAGTTTCAGTCTTATATCCATAATTTATTCTTAGGCCAGAAGATACAATGACAACAGATTTGATGCTGAGACACTAACTGGTCTCTATTCAAAATTTGGATGAAAGACAAGTCACTTCCCAAACTGGAAGGCAAAAATAACCAGTAAACTGGAGGAAAAGAGGAGACACTTTCCTCAAGGAAATTTTCCATTCCCAAGGAGGGGGAAAAACATGTCGAATTTACCGCTTGGAGATCACTCAGGAAAACGCGGTACAACCTCGCTCAAGCTGTGTCCACCCAAATAGTTACAATATACACATGAATGTGGCAGCTACTCTCCGGATATCTTAGAGAGACCCCCAAAACTGCAAGCAAGGGCAGAAACGACGCAGCTTTGCGACAAGCCTAGAGCACTCGCTGGGAATCTCTCAATAGGGTCTCGTATTTTCCAGACTGGAGTTTGCCCCAGGATCTCCAAGGAAGTCAAGCCTGTTGGAGCTGCACTGACTGCTTTAACCAAGCACTTACCCCGTTCTCCATTCTTCGATCACCAGGTACCTTCACCCCATTCCTTTTCAAGGCTGGATCCTGAGTCCTTTGCACACTCCCTGGACACAAACAGAGGACAAAGGTGGCAACGTATTTTAGGAATTTTCTTCTCCCCTTAGACATAATATGCAGTAGGAAGGAGAGAGAACACAACCATTTGCTGTTTAGACTCTGAACATCTGCTCTTCCCATGCCATTACCACACAGATTAGCTTAATAGAGAACACAAGATATTTTTATGAAGAGGCTGCTACTCAACAGATTGGGTAATCTTATCTACTGTAGAAGGGATTATAAGATATCCCTTTGCTCTGCTTCTAATCAAGAAAGAAAAAGTCATCAATATTCCTGTAGGAGTCACACTTGCTAAAACAAGACAGCCTGACCAGCATTTCATCCACATGCAGCAAATAACAGAGCTCCCCTTTTACTTCATGATTTTACCCAGTGATGGTGTAGGAAAAGTTAGTTGTTATCACTTCATGAAACAAGTTCAATGACTTACAAACAAGCTTGGATATATAAGTAACTTTGTTGCTACTTTCCGTAAGAAATTTTATCTGAGTGACGTCAATATTTATTTTAGAATATGACTGCTTAAAAAGATTCAAACAGGAAAAGCTTCAAGCAGCAGTAGGTTGTTTCAATGTTTTCCCTTGGTCAACAGGCTCTTGGTAAGTCTACTTTACAGATGCACAATGGCAAAACAATGTTGCCCTCTGCAAGGGACAAAAAGTACCTAGGTAATTCACAGAGAGGCATTCAGACCAAAGACAGTGTCTTAAAACCAGCACCAAGAAGTTCTGATGAACCTTTTCAACTGTCACCCCGAGAATATCAACAACAGAAGTTCAAGGTTAGTCACCTATCATGAAAGATGCATCAGTTAATCCACAGTTGATTATTACACAGCTTGTTCCCTTTACTATGATACTCATTTCAAGAGAATGCTCCTGAAGGACTAAGGAGTAGCACAGAGCTCCTGCCTATTCATTTGSTTCTCCTAAAACAAACTGCTTCATTTTAGGAGGCCAATAAGGTGCCAATAAATCTTCTATTATGAACATGGAGCATCCTGGACTTGAAAAACTACACCTAGACAACTAAACTGCAGGAGAAGATTCCTGGTAGGTAAAAGTGGTACAGCTTTAACTTTTCATAAACTCATTCCCTCACCACTACACAACTGAAATATTTGAGTTGTGCTTGGCCATTTTGTGATAAGCTGGATACAACACTGCTTAACACAAAGGCAATGTTTCCAAGACAGAGGAAGATTACTGAAAACTAAAGTTTAAAAAAAAAAAAAAAAAAGTGGGAGACAAAGAAGAACCCAATAGATTGATTTAAATATCAATAACAGTCTTAAGGATTCTGCTCAAGAGATTAATAGAAATGCACAGGAAATCATTGCAAAGCAAAAACAAAGAAAAAGTTCTTTACAGAATATACAGAATCATGTTCCTTAGATTACCATTTTCAGAGTCAGACTTGAATTCTACTAGTAAAACTAATACAAATGTGTAGAAGGGAGAGAAATAGGGAAGACCTCTATCTTTCACCAGGTACGCTATTTTTCTCACCCCAGGAAGAAACCTGTTTCTCCMGGAGAAACATACTAAGCACAAATAACAACTCACATAACTGGACAGTTTAGTTACTAGAGTTTTTAAAAGAAGAGATGTTATATTCCTTATTAGGAGGCCATCAGAGCTAATACAGCTCTAATGTATTTAGCAGCTGACAGCTTCGGCCACTGTAGTGACGACAAACTCTAGAAAAGCTGCAAAAGTTTCAGAGCTGCAAAACTCTGATTTAATGCTCCCAGGACTGCCAAGTGCAGACAAGCTTCCTATAAAATTAACTATGGTTCAAAGAATATTAGCAATCCTGCTCTTCTGTTAATAGCATTTGCTACTCGTAGGAAAATGAATAGTCAGATCAAAAAAAAGGCTGTGGCATCGTACTGCCTAGCACCATTAATATCTTACATATGCAGTCTGCTTCATTAACCTTTACTTAATGAAATTTAACTTACAGAGACAGACTGATTGATCAGCTGAGACAAACACCCACCTGCTTCCCGGCCGGGAGCACGCTCGTGCCGAAGGAAGAACCGAACCTCACTTCTGTGCATCCCAAAGCGCTGCAGGATATCCAGCATCCGCTCGTTATCAGCCACGGGGCGCTCTGGAAACGGAGAGAAAGGGGCACAAGGTGACTCTCCAGCCAGGCCAAGGGGACTGTTAGACCTGTGGGAAGCCAGGTCACGTACAGAGACAAGCCAGGAGCTGCTGCCTTGCACTGGAACTCCTGCCAGCACCTGGACACAGAATGCTTGCCCAGTCCTTGTCCCCACACAAGGCATTTCTACGTTTCCCTTAGAAGCTGAGGGTGGTGCACAGCGTATCTCTGAGCACAAATGCACATCTTTGAAAAGTAGATACAGCCCTCTCAAAGTCTGGCCCCAAAGACAGACCCTGGGGTACCAGGCAGCCCAGGGTAGCAAACAGGCAGCTCGGGGCTTTTGCCATGGGTGCCTCGGTACCACGTCTGCGAATCACTGGGTCGCTCACTGCTGCGGGAATAAAACGGGTGCTGGCTTCACTCCGTGTCCGTGGCACCTCCCCTGGACAAACCTACCTCCTGGGGGCTCCGTCCCCACCAAGAACTCCTCCATCCTGATTCCTACCAGGAAGCCTTTATTGCCCGTCCCAACGAGAATTAGGGCGAGAGAGATGCAAGAAGCAGCTGTCAGAGAAGAACCTGTCTCTCAGTGCCTGCAGAAGGAGGTGCTCCTCTGCAGCCCTTGCAGCCAGGCTCRCGCAGAAGCACAAACACTCTGAAAAGGCCCCAGGGCAACACCAAGTGCACCCCATCCTCAGCTGCTCTAAGCCAGGACACCCCAGGCRTTCTCCTAGAGATCCCATCAGCTGCACCCACTATCATGGACAGCATCCRATGCATTGAGAGACATCTGAAAGAGTCTCCTAAAGACAAACTGACAGGATACATGGCTCAGAAGAAAGAAAATGCAATAGAAAGTTATTTCAACACGAGCTTGCTATTCTTTTCAGACAGCTAAGATAAACGTTCCTAGAGTTACATGCAGGAATTCCACAGAATTTGTTTCCTGGCACTTGTCCCAAAGTTCAGGATTCAGGGTAACRCCCGTAATTTTTAAGCCTTCCTCACTGCCTTTTGCTATTTCAGAGCCCTAGTAGGAGTCTTCTCCACACACCACCCTCATTTACCAGGACTCCTCCTCCTCTGCGTGACTGTTCCTCCAGTTTTTCCACACTTCATAGCTGGGCATTCATAGACAGGATATAATTAAAATTATTTATGGGCCTTTTAATCTTTACGTAAAAATGTTTCCTTTTGTTATTCCAGATATTTTTACCACACATTTTCATGCCTCTGTTGAAAGTGATGGCAATTAKACAGTCAAGATATTACAGTAAGTCAAGTGAAGTATATGTAGGCAAGACACTGCCGTAATATCTTATGACAGTGTCTCAAACACGTGATCAGGTTCCTGTCCATTTGTGCTGGGTACCAGAGAAACAGAACTTATTCCTGGCCTGGGAAAAAAGATCAGAGCACAAAGAGTGCAATTAAGAGCTACCACTTCTGTATTATTTCCATTTGCCCTGCTAGTTATTCCATTATTTAGACATGAAGAAAAGAAAGAAATCAGAGTACTTCATATTCAAGAGATTCTTTCAAAGCAACTACCTTAATAAGGAATAATCATTTCAGGGAAAAAAGGGTTGGTTTTAAGTATAAATGTTTTTCATTCATAGGAAGAAGAGCCCCTAACATATGGTTTCACATGTGAAAAGCTTTTCCAACATAAAAGAGTTGCTTTAGAAGAAGATGGTGCAGCTGTGCTGAAGCAATCTAGGAAGGAAAATTTCTGGAGTCACTGTCAAAAGAGATTAGCTTTGCAGAATAAGCAAGTAGGTCACTGTTACAGAAAAAGCAGTCTCTCGGCAGTTTCTTGTCTAGACAGCTAAAAAAGCTCTTGATCTGCTAAACCCTAACTCAAAAAAAAAAAAAAAAAAAAAAAAAAAAAAAAAAGGAAAAAACCACCAACAGTAGCACTGTCAAATTTCCATCTTTAAGAAGATGCAGGAGGTTTGTGAGAGATTTCTAGCAGCCTGGCAATGCCTCAGCTGACACTCTCTCATCAAGGGAGATGCCCTTTGCACAAAGATCCTGTCAATACCACTCCCTGACTTCAAAGGAAGGTCACAGAGACTTGCAAACGCCAAACAAAGCTACGCTTGAAAAGCTTCAGAAGAAAAAGCAACTTGCCAGACTTCACCTTTTAGCCCCCTAACTCTGCTGTATGCACAACACACAGCTCGACTGCTTCCTCTGGCCAAGGCAGGCATCTAACAGCAAGATTTCTGGCGATGATAAGAGGACCAAGAAAGCCTGTCCTGAGATGCCTCAGATTTCAAGCAAATCTGGGAAGACAAGGCGAGCCTCGAACTGCCCCTTCAGGGAACGCGGTGCCTCCGGTTCCCCCGGCACCCCTGCAAAGTGCAGCTAATAAGGGCTGACAGCAGCAGCTCAAATTCCTGAGCAGGGCTCAGGAAAGGAAAGAGAGGTGAGCTATCTAAAAAGAATCTCAAATGACTTAAGTCTGAGAGCTGGTTTTCAAGCATCCATCTTACAGCTTTTGTTTCCATCTCCAAAGAAAGCCTGGCATGCTCCATGTTTACTTTAAACTAAACTTGCCCAGCATGGAAAAAATAGCCACAAAAAGGCCACAAGAGGTATCCTGACAAAACAAGATAGCCTACTCTATTGACATCTAAAATRAAGTTACATAGAGATAAGTGTATTTTTTCCTGAAAGAATAAGCCCAAAATACACACGGAAACTTATTTTGCAAATGGACATTGCACAGGCTGCTTAGAAAGGGATTTACTTTATCTAAAATAACATGTATATATTTCATCCAGCACCCAAACTCTTTTAATCTCACCTGATTTCAGACTATTGCTTTCTATGTTACTGAGCACAATTTAAGCTACAGTTTTGCACAGACACCAGGGCTGCATTTAGAAGTATATTTTGGGGAAATATGAGGTCAATGAAGGGAACAAGAATCATTTGGTTTCTAAAACAAATGTCAATGCTTCTGCTGTGCAAACTGGCTACTGACTCGTTTCATTGCCCAGTGCCAGCACTGGGAGCAGCAGCTGGGTACCTGCTCTCAGGGCACCTCAAGAAGCCTCTGCCTTCGCTAAGGCTAATCCTCTCGGAGGGGAGTCGCCGCTTCGCTTCATGCCTCTGCACTCAGCTTCTTTTCTCACATCTCTTCCCAGAGCACTGCAGAGAGTGACAACTGGATTTTGGAAATAAAGCTCATTACATTAGAYGGTGCCACTAACCCAGGAGGGCCCTTTCTGCCTCAGCAGGGCCACCTGCACCCTAGAGCCCCGGCAAGCTCTGCTTGCCTCCCAGGCCAGTGCCCTTGATTTAAGTGCAAACAGGCTGCCCTTTCCAGCATACTCCATGAAAACACCTTAAAAGCAAACCAGGAATCTGGAATGAGTGAAAACAGGGAGGCTCAGGAGGCCCCAGGCTTTAGGATGGGCCCAAATGGTAATTACGGGTGGACCTCATACCATCACAACCTATTCTCTGGAACAGGGAGCAGGGTTGTGGCTAATGAATAATTTAGTAATTAAAACTGCAAAATACACCAAAGTTCTTATTTTATTTGTCTGTCACTCTGGACTTTGTTATTCTGGTGATTTTGATGGAGTTGGACAGAGGTACACAGTAAAAAAACTATYCTGAAAGATCTATTTGTTTTGCACTGGATCAGTGATTCTATTATCATTTATAAATACAACAYGACTTTTTTGTAAGGAAGAAAGAAAAAAATCTTTCTACTGTATTTTAAGAATAAAAATAGCAAACAATATTACTTTATGTCAGAAGGGACTAAAATCAGGAGACCAGACTCAAGTACCCCATGTTTTAATAGCATCCAGCTCACCAAGAACTTCTTTTAACAGG